ATAAAGGTTGAGTGGTTGGCTTAGTGTGGCCAGGATCAATACCAATAGAAGCCAGACCATGCTTCACAAGTAAGGCTAGCTTGTGGGCATAGCAGCGAATCTGCATGCGCCCCGCTGGCCAGTCCACAGGAGGAGAAGCGTCCTGAAACATGCGCTGGAGTTCGTAAGCAAGTGTATGATTGTTGGAGCCAGAATCCGTGGTCTGGGCTAACATGTAGAGAATTGAAAGATATCAGATTCGGGTTGGAAATTTGAAAAACAAAAACAAAATACTTATCTTATGGTGTAAACCATGCTTGATCAGGAATCGACCCACAGGTTGAGCAAGCAAGGCACCTGCATGGTTCCATGCAGCCAGCTTGAGACCAAGATGGACCTTCTGGAAATCCCAATTATCGTCAATAAAGGTGACATTCATTCCGATGAACGCATATCGGCTTTGACGGGTGGTCCAGCCATCATGAATGAGACAAAATCTACTGGAGTTGTTCTAAATAAAGATAAAGAGTTAGAAAATGAAAGGAAATAAAGGAAAAATGAAAACTTACCCTGATAGTTTCCAGGACAGTCAGTTGTAATCCAGCATGGAGACGCTTAGCAGCGTTGGCTGCCCATACTGCTGATCTAAGGGTTGCTGATACATTTGCGAGTCGAAAGGCTGCTCTCAAGGGGCAATCTTGAAAACGAGCCCATGGTAGAGCTTGACGGATCACCCATAAGACACAGGTGAGGTTGAGAAGCTCCACACTAAACTTATTCTTTGAAACGAAAGAATCCAGTGTGCCTGATGACTTGACCTCCAATGCTCGTTGCTGCTCCTCCCAAGAAGGTGGAAGATCCATACCGGCGGCTATGGCTTGAGCTCTTCTTGGGCAAGCTGGTCGTCCTTTGCTTCCATCTTGGTGGCCATAGAGATTGTAGTACGAAGTCATCCCCTTCAGGAAACGACCTCGGCACCACCAACACCTGTAGAGTCGCGGATCACCAGACGCCTGAGAATGGATCAAGAGTTATGTTATTATCAAAGTTTAATAAGTTGAAAGTAAGAAAACTAAAAAAAGACTCACCTGTCCATTTGGATAAATTGGAGGGTGAAAGTACTTGAGGAGCTGTTTGACTCGGGCCAGTTGAGATGCCCTGATACCAGTTCTAGGTCTGACGGGGACGATTTCATTCTCTGAGTCTTGATCAAGATCGATACAGTCAGGAACCGTCTCCTTCTTTGAACAAATAAGATAAAAGAAGGTAAAAATCAGTCAGTTGGAGTAAAGAATAATAAACGATCCAAAATCAGGAAACAAATTACTTACACAAGTCTTTTTTGGTTTTTTTTTCTGGCCGTTGAATCCAACTGATTGTTAGCTTGTTTTCTGGTCAATGGTGATGGATGTTGGATAGATTCTTGCTCGTCCTCAGAGTTTGCAAGAAAAAGTCCATCGATTGGGGCAAATGGAGCATTGGAGGGACCTGGAGTTGGGGGCAAAGTCTGGGTTGGAGATGGAGAGGCAAGCTGAAGAGATCGTTGAGAGTCCGCTGAGGTAAAGATGAAGCCCGGCTGAGGTTGAACAGGGGATCTTGGCCTGAGAATCCGTACTGAAGGAGACAGGTTTGGCGCTGTCGATGGTGGAGCCAGACTGATTTGAGAGTTTGTTCGAATTGGTCGGTTGGACATGAGTATGAGCAGTTGTGATTGAGGTAAGATTAATGGTATGGTATTAAATAAAATGTAATCGGGTTTGAG